GTCGCCTGGTGCCATCCGCTACAGCCTGGATCTGAGGGCATATTATTAGCGAATAGCGCTCAGATCCCACACACATAAATCAATCGCCATGGAGTCAAAGTCCTTACAGTCTTTCGGTATGCGATTGACTCCATGGGAAGGCTATCTGGGTTAAGGCTTTTCGTGTGATTCCAAATTCCCGAACGGCTGGTGTTCGCATGCTTTCGTCGATGGAGTAGGGCAACCCGTTGTTTCAGCGGTGTTCAGCAGAAAAAGTGTCCGTTTTTAGTTCCATGAAATCAGTGCTGAACACTGCTGGTCTTTCATGTGTTTTAAAATGGCCGCTGCGTCGTGGTCGACATACGAACGATGGCCACCCTGAATTCGGTTTAATTGAGAAGTGTCTGCGGTTAACCACAATGTTCTAATTGGGATCAAGAGGTTAACCAGCAGCACCCTTCTATCCTGGGTGGCCATCCGTTCGGTAGATTTGTTCGGTAAAAAAGAGTCATTCGTATGGCTGGGCTATAGAAACAGCCATTTACACGAAAGGAAGGCAATATAGACGAATCTACCACGAATAGGCATACAGATGGTTCTGTCACACGGCTCCCTCCTTGTAGGACACTCCGGCAGACCTGGCTTGACCCTTTGGCAGGTCAACTTGGGGATGACCGGACTAGGAGGTGGTGGGGATGTCAGTTTGCCAGGACAATCCATCTGCATTCCCGTTCTGCTTACCGGGTCGGTAGCTGATGGTGAAGTTATAAGGTTGTAGCGCCAAACTCCACCTCAGCAGTCTACCATTGTCTCCTGAGACCGGTTAAGCCAGATGAGAGGATTATGGTCAGTCACAAGGGAAAACTCTTGCCTGTATAAGTAGGGACTTAACTTCTTTAATGCCCAGACCAGGGCCAAACACTCCTTCTCCACTGCCGCATAACTCACTTCTCTGGGTAGTAACTTTCGGCTGAGATATGCAACAGGGTGCTCCCCTCCATCTTCCCCCGACTTGGCTCACACAGCCCCCAGTCCATACATGGAAGCATCTGTATGGACGAGAAAGCGTTTGTTAGGGACTGGGGCAGCCAAGACAGGGGCATTCACAAGAGCCTGTTTTAGTGCTTGAAACGCAGCTTCACAAGCTGGGGACCACAGGACTTGCTTAGGCAAGTTCTTCTTCGTCAGGTCGGTCAGGGCTTAGCAATAGTGCTGTAGTCAGGGACAAAACGTCGGTAGTACCCTGCCGTCCCCAAGAAGGCCAATACCTGGGTCTTAGTGGTAGGTGTGGGCCAGTTAGCCACTGCCTCTACCTTGGCTGGCTCTGTTCTATGGCTCCCACACCCCATTCTGTGACCCAGGTACTGTACTTCAGCCATACCTAGATGGCACTTCTCTGGCTTCAATGTCAGGCCAGCGGCCCAAATCTTATCCAGTACCACCCCTACATGAACCAGGTGTTCCTCCCAGGACCCACTGTAAATCGCAATGTCGTCCAAGTATGCACAGGCAAATTCTTGGAAGCCATCAAGGAGCCTATCCACCATCCGCTGGAAGGTAGCCGGGGCATTCTTCATCCCAAAGGGCATGA